CTGTTGGTGTTAGGTTTGGCCAGATGACTTGCCTTGATCAAAGGAATATTAGCAGGAGTGACATGAACACATAGGCCTTAAATGTGCTTGTAAGATTTTGTTCTCTTGTGCTCCTACTTTCCCCGCGAGGAGAACTTGCACTTGGTAGCCTAAGACATGTGCGGAGCAGACCTGCAACTTGGAACCCAACCTAACAAGTCTAGATGAACTGAATTCCAGCCAACCCACATTCACAAGAAGGAGAAATACACACTTAACTGTCATGTGAGATTTTGCATTTGGTGGTTATGCAGAATTTTTATAGCAGTAGGGTAATTAGGATAATAGCTCACCTATTTAATATTTTAGACCTCAATCTTTCCATTGTATTGAGAGTCTAAGGAAAAATCTCACCCTCTCTGTCACTCATATAAGTATTGATATACAAAAAACAGAAGTGTGATTACACATCTCTATAATAATACATCTGAAAAAGAGTCAGATGTAGTGGCAAAGATCTGCTATGAACAGAACCTATCCCTAGTGCTGAGTCAGAAGAGAAGTTAATGGCACTGGGCTCTTCATCCTATCTAAAATAACAGTCAGCCAAATGTTGCAATTATGTTTATTTTATATAAAAATACCACCACATAAGATAATTTACCATGAAAAGCATACTTCATACTGAAGTAATATGTCCTAGTCAAAGTATTATAATATCTCAATTAACCTGAATGAAGAGAAATAGGGGTATTTCAGTTATTATAATTTTACAAGTAATAAATATTTTTAAGATAACATTTTTGCAGTGAAACAAAATTTTCAGATAGGTATTCATTTTAAGATAAACTTACTGAAACATAAGAAGTGACATGTTTGCTTGGCTCCTTTTTTAAATATGTTTTTAATATACTAGTTTTCTTTGATAGCTCAGTTGGTAAAAAATCTGCCTGCAATGCAGGAGACGCCAGTTCGATTCCTGGGTTGGGAAGATCTGCTGGAGAAGGGATAGGCTACCCACTTCAGTATTCTTGGTTTCCTCTTGTGGCTCAGCTGGTAAAGCATCTGCCTGCAATGCAGGAGACCTGGGTTCAATCCCTGGGTTGGGAAGATCCCCTGGAGAAGGGAAAGGCTACCCCTCCAGTATTCTGACCTGGAGAATTCCATGGACTATAAGTCCATGGTGTCACAAAGAGTCAGCCATGACGGAGCGACTTTCACTTTCACTTTTCTGTCTTAGGAAAAAAAATCTAAGGCATAGTGACCTAACAACAACTGAATATCTATTTCATGGTATAGACTCTGTATGTGTGTGCTCAGTTGCACAGTCTTGTCTGACTCTTTGCAACACTACAGTCTGTAGCCCACCAGGCTCCTCTGTCCATGAGATCTTACAGGCAAGAATACTGGAGCGGGTTGCCGTTTCCTCCTCCGGGGTTATACTCTTTAGGTACTTTAAATTAATGATCATTATATAGTGCTATGGACAAACTATATAAGAAATAACAGACTAGGCCAACAATGCCCTAAGCCCAGGCTATCCTCTGAAAGCATCTTTGGAAAATGTAAACATAACATTTACCACTTACCCCTACTGGGTTCAATCCCTGGGTTGGGAAGATCCCCTGGAGAAGGGAAAGGCTACCCCTCCAGTATTCTGGCCTGGAGAATTCCATGGATAGTCCATGGTGTCACAAAGAGTCGACCATGACGGAGCGACTTTCACTTTCACTTTTCTGTCTTAGGAAAAAAAATCTAAGGCATAGTGACCTAACAACAACTGAATGGTATCTACTTCATGGTATAGACTCTGTATGTGTGTGCTCAGTCGCACAGTCTTGTCTGACTCTTTGCAACACTACAGTCTGTAGCCCACCAGGCTCCTCTGTCCATGAGATCTTACAGGCAAGAATACTGGAGCGGGTTGCCGTTTCCTCCTCCGGGGTTATACTCTTTAGGTACTTTAAATTAATGATCATTATATAGTGCTATGGACAAACTATATAAGAAATAACAGACTAGGCCAACAATGCCCTAAGCCCAGGCTATCCTCTGAAAGCATCTTTGGAAAATGTAAACATAACATTTACCACTTACCCCTATCTCTGAAAAGTGGTACTCTAATAAAATTGCAACTATTAAAAACTCTTCAGTCAAGTTCCGATTACTCATTCATTGGTTTAAGAAACTCCCTACCATGTGCTCTGCACTGTGTGCGGAACTGGGAATAGAACAAGAGCCTACAGAAACGTCTCTGATGGTCCAATGGCTAAGACTCTGCACTCCCAGTGCAGGGGGCCCAGGCCCAGGGGACTCTGGTCATGGAACTAGATCCCACATATTGCAGCTATGATCCTGCATGCCGCAACAGAGATTGAAGATCCTGCAAGCCACAACTAAGACCTGGTGTAGTCAAATAAATAAATAATTTTTTTAATAAAAGAAAAGAACAAAAGAGGATAGTGGATGAGACAGACAAGTAAAGTGGGAAATACAAAATATGATCAACAACAGTCAACCCAACCTTCAGGGATCAAGAAAAAATGTCTGCACAGAAGCAGTTACATCCAAGGTGAGATCTAAAGGGCAAAGAGTCACTGGGGGTGGCAGAGGATCAGGGTTTCAAGCAACGTGAACATCACGTGTAAAGGCTTTGCCGTCAGGGCGAGCATGGTGAATTCAGAAGATGCAAGTAATTCAGGTTCATGTATTCTTTATGCTTTTCTGCCTAAACCATCTATGAAAATAAATGCTTTCCTCCCTTCACCTCTGGAGGTTCTCCTCCTAGCTCACTGAACACTCCTTTACAGCCTCCTTCACTGTTTCATCATTATCTCCTAAACATCTACTACTTGGAATGCATCAGGCTCAGACACCCACACTCTCCTTTTTCTGTCTACGCTCACTCTATAAATGATCAAACACAGGTTTCAAATACCACATATTTGTTCTTAACTATAAAATTTTACATCTTCTGACAATTAGATCCAAGCAATTACTGTACATCTCCTCTTAGATATCTATAGCGATCTCAAGCTAGACTATTGACATTCCAAATCCAAACTCTTGACATTCTCCCCACCAAAAACATCTTTCCACAGTCTCACTCAACTCTGTAAACAGCAATTTTCTGATTGCTCAGGCCAAAACCTTAGAGTCATCCTTAACTCCAGTCTTTCTCTGATACATCCCATACATCTGAGAACCTTATCTACTTTTGTCAAAAACCTTCAGAATTCTATTACTTTCAACTAGTTTGCTATCACCCTAATTCCTAATTCAAATTCCCATTATCTTTAGTCTGGACTATTTCAATAGTTTCATAACTGTTCTTCCACTTCTACCCTGCACTCAACAGTCTATTCTCAACAGAGTAGCTAGAGTGATCCTTTTAAAAATACATCAGATTGTACCAATTCCTCTGCTTAAAACTCTCTATTATCTGACAAACTTATTTGAAGTAAAAGCCTAATTCTTTAAGAGCAGTCCACAAGGCTTTACTAGCCATCATCTCTCTGATTTTCTTCCTATTACATTTCCCTTCATTTACTCTGTTTCAGCCATCCTTGCAGGCCCTCAGATATGCCCAATGCAGTCTCACCTAAGGTCCTTTGAACTTGCTGTTCCCTTCGCCTGAAACCTTCACTGCCAACATCTATATGATTCACTCCTTTATTTCATTCACGTCTCTGCTTAAATGTTCCCATTATTAATGAAGCCTTGTCTCAACTCCCAGTACAAAACAGACTATCCTCCCCTCATTTCCCTTGTCCTATTTGTCTCTAGACTCAAAAAACAAAACACAAGAGAGAGTCTGTTTAATTATTTACTATCTCCCTAACCTAGAAAGTAAATCTGCTGCAGAGCATGAATATGTGTTACTCACTGCTGTATCTCAGAACCTTAGAATACTACCTGGCAGATCATAGACTTGCATTAAATATTATATTTGGTGGATAAATTAATAAAAGCTGAAAACATTATCAATTATTCTCATAAATGTTACTACTGTAACTTTCTATTTTAAGAATAATTTTTGCAAGGGTGGGATGTTTCAAGAGAACAGCATCGAAACATGAATATATTATCTAGGGTGAATCAGATCACCAGCCCAGGTTGGGTGCATGAGACAAGTGCTTGGGCCTGGTGCACTGGGAAGACCCAGAGGGATCGGGTGGAGAGGGAGGTGGGAGGGGGGACCGGGATGGGGAATACATGTAAATCCATGGCTAATTCATTTCAATGTATGACAAAAACCACTGCAATGATGTAAAGTAATTAGCCTCCAACTAATAAAAATAAATGGAAAAAAAAAGAATAATTTTTAATATTGTATCCCTAATTAATAGTTAAGTGCTTATAAACTATGTAAAGATACCTAATACAACTTTTTTCCCTTTAGCCTAAAGACATAAACACACACACACAGTTCACCACCAAGGGCTGAACAACCTAGAATACTTTATAGCACTCTTTTCCTTTACTTGGCTTACTTCCTTTGAATATATTGAAGTGATATGTTGAGTTCCTGTGTTATCTTAGAGCCAATGAATATTTCACCTGTAATTCTACATATGAGTTAATAATAGTACTCTGTTGGTATTTGCCAAATTTCTATAGAAAAATTTCCGGTAAAGGATCTGTCTGCAATGCAGAAGACCAGGGTTCAATCCCTGGGTCTGGAAGATTCCCTGGAGAAGGGAATGGCAACCCACTCCAGTATTCTTGCTTAGAAAACCCCATGGGCAGAGAAGCCTGGTGGGTTGTCCATGGGGTTGCAGAGTCAGACACAACTGAGCAACTAACACTTCCACTTTCACAGGCAGACAAATCCACAGAAGAAATACAAACAGCCAATAAATATATGAAAAATGTTCATTTACATTAATGTTCTTTAATGTTTAATTTTCAACAAGCTAAAATGGCTTGGCAGGGAAGGTGAGCATAACCACTTTGAGAAAACCAGTGCAAGTGAGAGGTTTCTTACGTACAGAGACGCAGAACCTGGAAAACCTACTCACCGACAAGGGCGTGGGGTTGAAATACCTGTGATGGAACAGTAGACCACGTGAGGTGCAATCTTGTTGATATCTTCATAGCCCAGCCCCATCGCAGACAGTTTGCCAGGGACATAGTTCTCTACAAATACATCACAAACGGCCGCAAGCTGAAGGAAGAGATGAAGACAAGTCAGACTTAAGGGACTCTCTAACTTTCAACGAATCCCCACATGAATTCTGATTTCAGTAAACACAATCATCCTCACTTTCTAAAAGCTCAGAAAAATCACAGGAAAAGTAGAATTACAAGGTGTAATTAGATAGACATGAAGGCTCTAATCAACTACTTGAGGTATGACTGCCAATTCAGTTCAGTTCAGTTCAGTCGCTCAGTTGTGTCCGACTCTTTGTGACCCCATGAATCACAATACGCCAGGCCTCCCTGTCCATCACCAGCTCCCGGAGTCTACCCAAACCCATGTCCTTCGAGTCAGTAATGCCATCCAGCCATCTCATCCTCTGTCATCCCCTTCTTCTCCTGCCCCCAATCCTTCCCAGAATTAGGGTCTTTTCCAATGAGTCAACTCTTGGCATGAGGTGGCCAAAGTACTGGAGTTTCAGCTTCAGCATCAATCCTTCCAATGAACACCCAGGACGGATGAACAACCAAGACAGTCAATTAAACAATGGCTATTAAAATGTTCAGTTAATACCATAGTGTTAAGTGGATTCTGCTTACATTAAATGTAAGAAATATCTAGGCTGTGTGGTCTATCCAAGTATATTCTCAGAAATTTAAAAAATTTGACTATAAAGACATAAAATACATGAAAATTATCTTTTAACCCCTTTAAAACTAAACACATCTTTACAACCCTATCCTTATCATGTAATACTCCTCATTACAACATGTACATATTGGCACTTAATATTTGTAAACTCTTGTCAATTGCTTTCACACTTTCCAGATGCTTCCTTTCCAAAGTTTTAAATGCATTTAATGAACGACTAAAAAAAAGAATGCTAAGATATAACTCAGTAAATCAGTAACTGTCAGAAACAAGGCCCCAATTTTGATTCCCAGATTACTACTATAAGAAATAGAGAACAAACCATTGAAACCTCAATCTTAAACTTCTTTTCAAAATCTCAATTGTGACTACGTATTTTCTGAAAATATCACAAAAATTATATGACGTCGTAAAGAAAAATTCATGACATAATTCTTAACCATATCCAAGTGACTAATAACTATTCAATAATTTTTTAACTGCCATGTTAACATAGATACATTCTCACACACACAAGCTAATGAAATAGAATAAGTCTGGGCCAGGGATAGACAAACTTTTTTCCACAAAATGTCAAACAACAAATACTTTAGCCTTTCCAGACCACATACATTCTGTGTCACATTTTTATTTTTCTTTAATGATCTTTAACAATGTAAAATTCATGCTTAGTCCATGCGCTATGCAAAAACAAACTGGACTTGGTCCATAGTCTGCCAACCTCTGCTCTAGGTGGAAAATAATTGAATTTACATAAACTTTAGATGGAAATATAAATAAACTATGTGCCTGTTTGTTATGCTGTCAACAAATCTGGAGTGGATACATGGAACTCTTTGACTTAACAAAACTTAGGGAGAGAGGATCTTAAGAGGCATCACAAGGAAATAAGCTGTCATCCTCCAGAGCTCCTGAAACAGAGGTACTGGAGACACAGGTGACCACCTGTCAGAAAAGGAATGATAAATACATTAAGATACAGGACAGAGAAGAATAGATTTCAGGTATGCACTCCAAATCTCAAGCCATATAGACATCCTTTCCAAATTTCCAGTGCCAATTAACTTTCGAGATGCTTCTCACATGGGCAAAATGCTCCAGGGAGAACCCAAGTTGAGATGTGTTCATTTACTATTAGTGATTCTAAAAATTCTACCAAGTATTGCTTGGGAAATATGGAAGGAGAGTGGGTGTTAGTATAAGTAAAACACAAGGCTACAGTTACACTTCAATTTGTTCCACATACTCTTCTGAATTTCTGTCTACTACTTACAAAGCATTCCTGTGGGCACTAAAGAAAACAAATGACATCAAATACACCTAGGCTTCTATACCAGTCATCTCCTGGCTGCATAACTTGAATGGTACATACTAACAGTATAGTACAGTACCTTATGCAAATGACATTTGATAAATTATTTAATTTTAAAAACTGTGTGTTCCTCAAAAAGTTAAACATTGAATTACCATATGACCTAAAGATGCCATTCCTAAGTAAATACCACAAATAATTGAAAGCAGGGACTTGAACAGGTACTTATATCCAAATGTTCATAGCAGCATTATTCACAATAGCCAAAAGGTGGAAACAACCTAAGATTCATCAATAGACAAATGCACCCATCCATAAAGTAGAATATTTTTCAGTCAAACAGAGGAACAAACTTCTAATATATGCTACAACATGGATGAAACTTGAAAACATAATGCTAAGTAAAATTAACCAGACACAAAAGTACACATATTGTATGACTTCACTTACATGAAATATCTAAAACAGGCAAGTTCATAAAGACAGAAAGTAAATTAGAGGTTATCAGAAACTGAGGGAGAGGGAAGTGAAGAATTATTGTTTAATGGATACAGAGTTTGCTTGGGGTAATGAAACACATGGGAAATACACAGCAGTGACAGTTGCACTACATTATGAGTGTAACTAGTGCTACTGAATTGTGTGGTACAAATGGTTAAACAACATTTTTACATTATATATGTTATATCACAATAAGAATTATTTTTGTAGGGTATTTGCATTTTTAGATTTAAATTTTTGTAGGGTATTTGTATTTTTAGATTTCTATAGGATCATAAATTATACTTCAAATCACATAAAATAGTCAGATGAATCACAAATTCATCTGAATTTGGTGCATTCAGATGATTCATCAACTTTCAATTTGATTTGATCAACTTTCAGTAAGACAAGAAAATAAACGTAATGAATAAGCTATGCTAATAGAAAAGTATTCAGAATGGATAAAGTAAACAAAAAACATTTTAAAAAACCAATATACATATTATTATGTTTATCAAAAGAAAGCATACAAGGACATAGATTTTTATATTATATGCTAAAATAGTAATCTTTTTGCCCATGAACAGACATTACTTGTGTAACAATAGAAAAAAAAAATGTTAAGCTAAAAAGAGCTGTGCTCAGAGTACCACATAGTCTGACTCTATAAAGTTATTTAAAAAATACAGAAAAGTTGAGTTTAGGAGCTAAAGAGTTCTACTGATAAACATGCCCAGTAACTTTTCAAAAATATTTGTTTATTTGGTTGTGCCAGATCTTAGTTGCGGCACATGGGAACTTCTATCTTTGTTGCAACCTGTGGGCTTTTTTTAGTTGGGGCATCCAAACTCTTAGTTGCGGCATGTGGGATCTCGTTCCCTAAGTCAGGCCCTCCTGCACTGGGAGTACAGAATCTTAGCCACTGGGCCCCCAGGGAAGTCCCCCAGTAGCTTTCATTATTACCCAAGAATTCAATACGTGTGCATTATGATATTTAATGATAAAATATCCCTGGAAAAGTACACAGCACATAAGTTATTCTTTTCTCCATTTTATAAACATTTCTTTTAAATAAATGTATACTAGCTATTTTCTAGATACTGATTCTTGGTGAGTCTGCCATATGACATATTCTCCTCTCTCTGTTTTTAGAGACCTCATTTCAAGAACAGGTATGTTCCCTAAAGTATTAGTTAAAGCATTTGTTAAAATTCTAACCAGTGCAGTGCTGAAATCAGACACATCAGAAATCACCCTGAGTTTTACGGATCTCTACACTATCTACAAGGTTTATACAAGTCAATTGCTTCAGTGGAGACCAAACATTTACCACATTTCCCTGATATAAGAATTTACTATGAAATAAAGTGAGAGGGAAAAACAACTTAGTCCTAGTTTTACTGGTGATCACCTCTTCCTCACTGAGGTGTTCACAAATCAACTAATAACCTATTTTAGAATTTTGCCCACAATAAAAAAAAGCACAATTTTACATGTTGGAGAAGCCATCATCTTTTTCTTTTCTTCTGGGGGAAAAAGAAAAAATATTTCCACTCACAGTAAAACAAAAAAATTAAAATCAATTGAAATACCACATACTTAATTCTGAGTTGTTTTCATTAGATATAATTTAGGAACACATTGGAGGAGCAAGACAAGGAATAGAGGGGAATAATGATAATAATTTAACTACATTTATCTGTTAAAAAAATTATAAAATAAATTCTAAATGTACGTCCAAGGATGTTCTTACTCATATGAGATGTATTCTGCAATCAAATGCTCTATCTCTGAGCTCTACCCCCAGGAGATATCTTCCGAAGGATTTAAAGGCAAAGTTTCATGATGTGTTCTACTTACTTTGAAATGCAAATCCAAACTACAATGAGGTATCACCTCACACCAGTCAGAATGGCCATCACCAAAAAAAGCTACAAACAATAAATGCTGGAAAGGATGTGGAGAAAAGAGAACCCTCTTGCACTGTTAGTGAAATGTAACCTGATACAGTACGGAGATTCCTTTAAAAAACTAGGAATAAAACTACCATACGGCCCAGCAATCCCACTACTGGGCATATACCCTGAGAAAATTATAATTGAGAAAGACACATGTACCCCAATGTTCACTGCAGCATTATTTACATATATAAGACTTGGAAGCAACCTAGATGTCCATCAACAGATGAATGAATAAACAAGTTTGGTACATACATATAATGGCATATTACTCAGCCATTAAAAGGAATGAATTTGAGTCAGTTCTAATGAGGTAGATGAACCTAAAGCCTGTTATACACAGTGAAATACGTCAGAAAGAGAAAAACAAATACTGAATAAAAATTCCATAATGAATATATATGGAATCTAGAAAAATGGTACTGATGAACCTACTTGCAGGGCAGGAATAGAGACAGAGATGGAGAATAGATTTGTGGACACAGAGTCCACAAGAAGGAGAGGATGGGATGACTTGAAAGAGTAGCACTGAAACATATATATATATCCGTATGTAAAACATATGGTAATGTTTCACATATGAGAGCTAGTGGGAAGCTGCTGCATAATAAACGGAACTCCACTCGGTGCTCTGTGACAACTTAGAGGGGGGGGAGGGGACATATGTATACTTACAACTGACTCATGTTGCTATATGGCAGAAACCAACACATTATAAAGCAATCGTTTGTTGTGTTTGTTCAGTCCATAAGACATATCTGACTCTTTGCAACCCCATAGACTATACCACACCAGGCCTCCCTGTCCCTCACTGTCTCCCAGAGTTTGCACAAGTTCATGTCCATTGAGTTGGTGATGCTTTCCAACCATCTCTTCTTCAATTATCCTCCAATTAAAAATAAATAATTTTTAAAAGGAATGTGGATTAAAGAGGAGAGAAAAAAACTAAAAGCTGTCATTCACTGACTGAAAAAAAAAATTTAAGAATTCATTATGCTATTCCTGCAATTTTTCTGTATATTTGAATATTTCCTGATAAGATTTTGGGGGAAAATAAGACCCATGACACTGCTCTGCTGGCCATGATCCATACTCACAACACGGATATATAACTTATGAACAGTATAACTAGCTGAAAGCAATAGATTTAAGACCCCAGAAAATCTATTTAAGTTTAATTACTTGAAATGTACTTCATTATTATCAATCAGATCTGAAGAGAAACCCTGCCCATAAAGTTACAATTTAAACCTATCACAGTATGGTGGAAGACATAGGCAGTACCCAAAGAGAGTGAGAAAGACACCTCAGCAAATTCATTTATTTTGGTCAGAATCATACAGGTAGGCCTAAAATACTCTAATGTACACTGATGTCTTCTGAGCAAGAACTATGAATTCCATCTAACACCTTAGATGGAAAAAGCACATCTAACACTTTAGATGAAAAACTTTAATGAACTGGTAAAGCATTTGTTAAATCAAATCTGAAACCTTCACTATTCAGCATAAAACACCAGAATATTCTGTCACCAAGTCACTTCAGTCGCTCAGTCGTGTCCAACTCTTTACAACCCCATGGACTGCAGCACACGAGGCTACCATGTCCTTCACCAACGCCTGGAGCTTGCTCAAACTCATGTCCATTGAGGCGGTGATGCCATCCAACCATCTCTTCCTCCGTCATCCTCTTCTCCTGCCTTCAATCTTTCCCAGCATCGGGGTCTTTTCCAATAAGTCACTTCTTCACATCGGATGGCCAAAGTATTGCAGTTTCAGCTTTAGCATCAGTTCTTTCCATGAATATTTAGGACTGATCTCCTTTAGGATGGACTGGTTGGATCTTCTTGCAGTCCAAGGGACTTTCAAGAGTCTTCTCCAACACCACAGTTCAAAAGCATCAATTCTTCGGCACTCAGCTTTCTTCACTGTCCAACTCTCACATCTATACATGACTACTGGAAAAACCATAGCCTTGACTAGACGGGCTTTTGTTGGCAAAGTAATGTCTCTGCTTTTAAATATGCCATCTAGGTTGGTCATAACTTTCCTTCCAAGGAGTAAGCGTGTTTTAATTTCATGGCTGTAGTCACCATC